AATATATAGAAAAGGACAAATAATAAGGTGTACACAAATTCACTGTGTTACAAAATTGGACATTTTTTAGCATTTAAGTTAAGAGGCACGTAGGAAGATTTGCAGTTACCCGGTAGCGTACGATACAATTCAACGAAGCAACGAAGATGATAGGACTGGTACCAGGTACCCTGTAAAATTATTCCGCCTGATATGGCATCCTTCGAAAGAAAACAATGATTGAAGGTGGCATGCGCCTAGGGCACAGATCTTTGTTGCATGCGTTAATAGGAACGGAATCTAGTTACAAGACCTCAAAAAATCTGCTTGCGTTTTTTCTGTTTTCTCAAATTGAAAGTATCCAATGAGCTGAAACTTTAACAAGTTAGTTGTTATGCATGACACTTCTTATGTCGAGCAACTGTGTTGCATCAAAGGAAGAGAAAAAACTACACAAAAAGCAAATGATCATAATGTACCTGCAGTAAGTGCACCAGCTAAATTTTGCCACTCATTTTAGGTGATAAAGTGTTGTTATCGAATACTGAATTTCGTTCTTTTTGCTTTACTTGGCTTAATGCATTGCTATTTCTAATCCTTCCCAGAACTGGAATCTTTCCGAAATACATCTTTGACACAATAGCATCTCATCTCATCAGTTTTCAATTAAATGTTACTATATCAAACCAAAGGGTTTGTATTTAAAGCATTTGAAAAAAATATATATAATGACGTATATTTATAAACGTAAAAGCATATTATGTTGACGCCACAAAACGTGCCGGAAAGCGGTTACATGTTCGATACCCTCGATGGATTTGTGCAGTCTTTTATGCCTTTTGTCAATAATACACAATGTATCTGAAGCACTAAGAAAATTGAGGTTATAAAAATACAACCGTAAAGTAACCGTTTTATTTCTACTAGTAAAGTAACCATTTTTTCTAGTAAAGAACCGTTTTATTTCAAATCATTGAGTTCTGTAAAACAAGTTTATGTGAAGGCAAAATGGCACCCTCTTGTTAAACTCGAGGTTGTTATTGTATTTTGTTAAAGGCATTATAGGATCGTTTGGTCGCTTCAAATAACACCACTCAAAATACTAGAAGAATGTTGAAAACCCAAACTATAAGTTTCAACTCAGTGGATACACTTTTCAAGAAAACTTTGAAAAAAATGCACAACCTTTCATCACAAGACACGAGTTCGTCGATAGCACTTTTTATTAAAAAAACCCAAACAAACAAAACAAACAAACAAACACCCCAACACCCCAACAAACAAACACCTCAACAGTCACGTGACTGACCGTTGGAAATCCCGATTTCTTCTTAATGACAGCAAGCCAGACGGAATAATTTCACGGGGTGTTTATGGTGCGATTTTCAATCCAAGTAAGATTTTTGATGATAATTCGGTAGGTTACTTTTTGGATAAATGCATTTGATCCTATATGCCTTTATTAAAATCGCAGCTAATTCTTAAATAAAAACAAAGATATTAAACAGAGGAAGTCTTACGGCGCTCCTGCAAATCCGTTACTTTAAGTACTATAAGAATAAGTTTTGTGAAATATATCGTTTTGAAATAACAAAATGTTTTATGGAAACATAATATATAATTATCAAAACCTAAAGCTTTATCTTTCAGAGCGGTGCTTGTTACAGATACAATTAAGAAGCATAATACAACGCAGCTTTTATGCATGCGTGAAACTTGATAAAGGGGCCGTAAAAAGCTTGAAATATATAAAAGAAAAAAAAAGAAAGAAAAAAGAACCCTGCTTCTTGACATGTTGATTTTTCGATTTTTCTCGAAATAAGTAACTGTTCCATAACAAAACGTGGGCCGATTTTGTTCGTTTGATGTTTCATTCAAAAGTGGATAACTTTTTGTATTGCTCGAAAAATAGCAATTTAACAATCATTTCTTTCTGTGTGGACAGTAGCGTCCTAAACTTCCATCCTATAAAGATATTGCACCTCGATTTTTGAACAAAGACGGTGTCGCATGAGTAATGCGCCCTCTACTAAATGTGTTGAATAGGGTTCTTGTGTGTATGTAGGCCTAGACTTGAAATCAAGTCTGTAATGAGTGGTTTTAATCGCGTCTGCCGCGCGCGACTCAACTGCCAAGCTCTGTGCCGGGGGTACGACGTACCGCGTGCTGTCCTAGTAGCGGGGACGCTACGTACATTTTCGACCCCATGCGTGTGCGATCCCATGCGTGTGCTGCATTACAGACTTGAATAAATCGTTGTCAGTTTGTGCACAGGCAATGAGACTTGCTACCAAAATTGGACGGAGCAGTCTGATTGGTTAAGAATCAAGAAAATATGAATATTCAACAGGCATCTCTTAGCCGATGCGTTTTGGCTTGCACGACGACACACACAAGTTTACATAGTACAGTACGTATACACGTACACACCCGATTATCGCGGCATGTTAGTGTAGTCTTCACCAAACATTCTCAATCGCTTACATCAAATTTCTTCGGATTTCCTATCGCCCAACGTTAAAATGGAGGTGTTGGAAGCTAGCACCGAAAGGTATAGAGGTTCCATTGACCATGGGTTGCGAAAACTGGGGATTTTCAGTGCTCTGAAACCCCAACAAACTGTGGCAATCGCAACTGATTTTCTTGACGGCAACGACACCTTAGCTTCGTGAATCTACCCACCGGGTACGGGATATCCCTGATAATACCAGCTAGCCCCTTTCTGTATCGACTTCATAAAGGAAGGTCTATATCACGTAATGTAGGCATACTTTCTTCACTCACGAAGCCTTTCAAGCTTGAGTAGAATACCACCACAATATAATTACACATTATTCAACTAATTAAACCAACATGATGAACTAGGGCCATCGATCAGTGCATAGCGGTTCTGTAACCTTAAAAATGCACAAACTGCGAACGAGTACGAGTTCGTGTTCAGGGTGACAGGGTGACCGTAAGGTCATGACTAAATCTGCTAAATGCACTTCAAAAATCTGTCAGATTTATCAAAAATCTGCCAAATTCCCCAGACTTACTCGAAATACACTAAAAACACCTTAAATCACATGCAGTTGTTATAATATTGCCTTAATTAAAGTTCAAATTACATTTTAAACAATCTATAACCACATAAAGGTAATATGAAATTTCAGGCAAAACTCGTTTTTTTTTAACAAAAAAATATGTCAAAGTTAGCCGAAAATCGGCTAAAACGGTCACTATGCAGGGTGATTAGTTAAACTACAACAAACCACATGGGCCAAAAGGAGCTTACGTTTACAGTCGGCGCGCACTTCATTTTTTGAAGGGGATTTACAATTATTCGTAGCAGTTTCAACTTCCATAATCACTTAAATATTACTCCTTTTATTCAAAGACAGTTGCAAAAGTACCAATATTATCTACAATGTTATACTCTTTTTTTTTTTACTGTAATTTTAGAAATAGGACTGCCAATATCAAAAGCAAACTTGAAAATGATCGTGTAATAATTACCCCTATATTATAATGGATGTTTCTTCGTAAGCCAGATGGGCTACTATTGGCCCTCGCTATGGAAACGTCATGCATATTCATTGCAGTGGCTGCATTATGAATATTCGCTTGAAAACGTGTTAGTCAAGTCGTTAGACACGAACTGACCATGCCGCGCGGTAGTACGGCATGAATGGTTGTAGCGCTCACGTTGCATGAACGGCGGTGGTATGCGGATTCTGGCGCTGATGACGGACATAAACCACTATAGTCTAACGACTTGTCATCAAGTCTAATGTAGGCCTAATGTAGTCCTGTTGTTGAGAACCAGACGTTTTTTGCGTTTGCGTGACCTTGTTGTAGTGTGAGTATCTCACGTTATCCACGGAACCAAGTCTCCTGTATAACGTCTGATATGTCAAAGCATGCAGATTTATGCGATCTCATGCCTCAGCCAATCGGAGTCGACTTTACTAAATCGTGACGTCATTTCATTCCCAAATCAGGACTAAAACTGTGATTGGTCAATTCGAATGTAGTGTTTTGTAATACAATAACAGCCCGGCGCGTGTCGTGTAACATAATACAGAGCGCGTGACCACAAACTTTGTTGCTGTGTCTAGGGTGTTTTTTCCATGTCTATAACGCGACAACGGCGAATGACCAAAGACCCGATATAGAAGGCGCCCGCTGATTGGTCAAAATCTGGAGGTCAAAATGCGGTTGTCTTGCATAATTAATAAGCAAATCTGCTCAAATGTTTTAGACCATGGCTTTCGGTCTATTACATAGACTAACCTTGTTGAGGGCCCTTTCTGTCGGTCTCTGCATATATATAAACTTGCATACTTACAACTATCTACTGCATATTTTAGGCCTGGTGGTACCGTGTATTTTGTAAACTGATATTGCGTATGTAGTACATGCTATTACAAGGTACATACTATGTACCTTGTAATAGCAATCATTATGTTTACTTCATATACACACAAAACCATACAGATAAACCTAAGCAATAAAAACAGTTGAATACCGAAGATTATGAGATCCTGTCCACATTTATTCACACATGGAATATTTAGTAAAAGGTCATGTCGTCGTCGTTGTTTGCAGAGGTTTGCAGTTGTTGTGGTTTGCAGTGGTTGTTGTGGTTTGCGGTTGTTCTGGTTGTTGCGCTTCGTAGTGGTTGTGGTCATTGCAGGGTTGGTGGTTGGGTGTGGTTGTGGTGGCTTGTAGTGGTTATGGTTGTCGTCGTAGTCGTTGTTGGCTTTTGGCCATCGTTGTTCTTTCTGTTGTTTTTGTCGCCGTCATTGTCAATGTCGTTGTGTTGTTGATGTTGGTGGTGGGTTTTGAGGTTTTTTGGGTTTGGTAATTAAAGTAAGGCAATAAAAATGCATGCTGTATTTGTAATAATTTTAAAGGAGTAGGCCTAGGAAATGTTATTTTGACCTAAGCTTTTATTAACCCAAATTGTCGTGATAGACACAAATATCGAGGTTTTTTTCCACTGTGTCTCCCGTTCTTGGCTACACCGGTGCACCTGTCTACGCGCCAAAGCGCGCCCCGCAGTGAGAGCAGACCTTCTCGGTACTCCAAAAGCAGAAGAACAGCCCGAGCGGGAGCAAGAGAATGGCAAGTAAGATGGCGAGTGGTGAGCACCCGCACCGCCTCCTCACGTTGCCGATGTGGCAGACGGGACAGTCACCAACGGTTACTATCTGGGAAGTGGTCTGGGCTGGCACAGTGACTTGGTCCGTGGGAGGCTGCTGCATCGGCTGCGGCTGGGGCTGGGGAGCTGATGAGGAAAAGGAGAAATATATAAGAAAAGTATACAGCCTAAAGAAGGGTTCGGGTGGGCTGTATGGGGAAAGCGTCCAAAATCATGGCGATAATACTGCTTTGCAACTTTCTGTTCTACAAAAAAAAATCAGTGGAGAACTTGTCATACCTAATAAAATAAACAAATAGGGACCATTAGGATGAATTGGGTACGCATAGGATACGTATGCGCTTGGAAAAAGTGGCCGATTTTATCACCATTCTGCGTGATTATCACCATTCTGGGTTTCTTATACCCATTTCAGAATAAGGTGAAGTGGAAACGTCTGAGTCGGTGAGGTTCTTCTGTACCGTCGAAATACTATGTGAAATATATCCTTGCAAAGTTCGTGTGGCTATGCAGGTTTCGTCACCGCGGAGTAACGTCCGTTTATACGCAGTGAACATGGATGGTCAATGCACTTATGCAGTACGCCTACGAAACCACTGAGTAAATCAATTTATATGCCTTGTTTATCGGAAGCGATTAAAGTAGTTGTCAGTTTAGAACGCTTAAAAGTTGTTTCTCTTATCATAATTCTACATGTATATGTTCCGTCTTGTATATCACGAGATAGGCCTATATAGGTTCATTACATTTTCGGGCAACTTGGTTTCTGAATCAAAATCTCGCCCCCAAACTGCCCAAAAAAGTGAAGTACACGCACTGGCACCCCGCGCGCTGATTTTAGACTGGCACTGTGTCCATGTACATGTCCATGTCCATGTCCATGTACATGTTCCTGTACATAATTATGTGCAAGTACATATCATACTGATGTGCATGCACAAATTGACTTCATACAGTTGGTTATTTTTTTTTTTTTTAGATGAATACATACTGTATATTTAAGAGAAAAACTCTTTTATGTTGTGAAAACAAAACGTTCGACAATCTTGACATTATGGTGAAGATTAGCTGGCAAAAGTCTTTGCTCGTGCATTTTGGATATATAAAGGTACTGTAAATTGACCACAAAAAGTAAATAACTACATATACATTGATGAGTGATTTGGTAATAATGAAGTAATTCACACGCCGAACCAAGTCCAACTGTTTGTCGATGTCATAGGTTATTCTTGTAGTTAAACAAGAACGTTTTAAGCCAGCCAACATCTCTTTGATTATTAGAAATATCTTTTAAGAAATATCTTTTGTGATTCACACAAACGCTTATTCTGTTTAAAAACTGTTACAGGCTGTTAACACGTAAGTGCAACCATAGGTTAAATATCTAAACACAATTTAAACGCCATTTAGACACTTTTTAGTTTTGTTAAACAAAACCGCTTGGACGTGTTTATAACATTGCTGTTTAAGTACTTAACACTTCCTTTAAATCACCATAACATATTTTGTTTGTAAACAAAATATTATGTTATGGTGATTTAAAGGAAGTGTTTAGTACTTAAACATCAATGTTATTATAAACGCGTACAGGTGTTTATAAAGTGCTACAGGCTGTAAACACGTCAATGTTTATGATATAAACACATTGACGTGTTTAAAAGTACACTGTGTTTAGAAAGTAAACAGTAAATTAAACATATTGAAATGTTTATGTAAACACACATATACACGGTATAGCACTAATGTTCCATTTGCTGCTCGTTCAGAAATTGGAAAGAGAGGCTCTGGTCTTGAAATTAGCATATATTTTTTTGTAGAAAGACGACTGAGTAGTAAAACAAAACGAGAATTTTAAGGTTCAGCAATGGAGGTCTGATGGAGTGGATATGACAACTGAATTCTGCTGATCAAAGACTCGTATTTTTCAACCCATTCTGAGAAATAGCGCATTAAAGTAAAATATAACGTATTGCCTCCTTTCACAAATAAAGACAATTTTGTTACCATTTTTACAAATACAAATGTATTTCTAAATTACAAAAACAGACACTGATAGCATTTTCTTGCATACGGGACACCATTTGCATAAAAAACTGTGTTTGCCCTTTGCCGATTAAGGGAACAAAAAAGTCTGTAGTAGATTATCAAAAAAATCTCACCTCGATCTAAGTTTAAGCTCAGTAGATTAGATCATACTTTTTGTGAAACCGTGTAAGTGCATCTCCGTTTTGCTCAACGCAAAGCGTAGATTTCTGATTAAACAGCGCGATGATTTAGTCCTAAATAGGACCAAATAAAAAAAAAAGCATCGCGACAAAAAATAATGGTAATACCTCTTTTCTCGGAAACGACACCACTCTAGGCGCGCGCAAGCATTTCACAGGATGCATGAGCCTATTATTTACTTACAATCAAGCAGAGAATTTTATGATATTTTGACGGATTCATTTTGGACTATTTGCAAATTGTGCTCATCACCTTCATAGAAGTGCCGAAATTTTACAGGACTTGATTTTGTTAGAGATTTTTAAAGAATAATCAGTACACGCGGTGCAGTGGCCGCCAATTTATTTTCAGGATCATGCCGCAGAGAGTTCTGTTGCTGCGGAAAAAGGCCACAGGCATGTCTGCCGTGTATAACTACTCGTACATGTATCGGAATGGGATATGGATAGGAGTCAACCATTACATTGTAGGTGTCAAATATAATGACCTAAATTCATCATTATGCGAGTTGTGTGTAAAGAAAACTTATAAATTGTAGGCCTAAGAAATAAAATGCATGGTTTCGGTAAATTGTATTATTGTTTATTATGAACACAATGCTTTTCACAAGCAAGAAACAGAACTTCCAGTGACTGTTTTGTGCAGTAAAGTACAGTTATGCACATGACAAGCATAGCAAGTTGGGCATGCAGTAGACCATCACCTCTTATTAAAATACTCACGATATCCGTCTTGGTAAGATTGGTACCCAGGCGGGTAGGCCAGCTGCTTCGAGTGGTCGTAGGCTGGTGGAGGCTCCATTTTATCCTAAAACGGTCGTGCAGTGTAGGTCGAAATTTTCACAAGTACTCTGCCGGTATTTGAGGTGGACGTGTAGCGAGATCGCTCTTTTCACACTTCCGCCTTGGGCATGCAGAGCCTCGATCTGGCAACTTTACACAATAAATATAGCCGGTTACCCGTACCAGGTACCTCTTTCTCTTTCAGGGCGGTGCGTTTCTTTTTCACGGCAGCTAGCCTCGCTTTCATAACATGTAACTCGATGTCGCGGCCGCGACATACTAACTCGCGGCCGCGACATAATTATCTCGCGGCCGCGAGATAATTATGTCGCGGCCGCGAGTTGCATGTTATGAAAGCGAGACTATAGCTGTCGTGAAAGAGAAACGCATTACGCACCGCCGTTAAAGAGAAAGAAGTACCTGGCCCTAACGGGCTTCAGTAGCACGCAGGACCAGAGACATGTACCTTCATGCACGACGAGTAGAGTAGGCTATTATAATGTCAGTGTATTCCACTTACGCCATCCATCAATACAAAGTTTTCACAAAAGTGAGGTCATGCAGTGGAGTAGCGCGGTCATTTTTATTGGGGGGGGTGAAATCTTTTTGAAAAGGGCACTTGCACATCCGTGGTGAAATGTAGACACGTTTTTTTCCCCTTACACTTGGCCTCCGTAAAATGAAATGGTGGGGGGGGGGAGGGGGGCGTACGATGGGAGCACTGTTCAAAACCGACGATAACGCACACTAACGGACAATATATGGTGCTTCTAACGGAGATACATGCGCGAATTTAACAAAAAAGGCACCCGCAATGGCCGATGGTACCAGAAAGGCAACCACATACTTTTAAAAGGGCACTTGTTCAGAAAAAAAAGACACTTGTTAAAAAAGGGCACTCTTTACAAAATATTGGCGGGGGGGGGGGTAAGCGCTGGTGAAAAAAAAAGGCATTTGAATAGAAAAGGGCAGTCTTTACAAAATATGTGGGGGGGTTAAAATACCCCCTAGGAGCATGCGCAAATTCTCGGAGCATGCGCAAAAGCATGCAGTCCTCATTGTTTGGGCAGTCCCCCTAGCTCATAGTACCGCCAGCTGCATGTGCTTGTACTATGTACAGCACATGGGATGTACATGTACATCATCCACACTGCCCACATGCCATGACGATTCCAAAACCAGCCTTTGTTTACACAAACATGAAGCTATAAAAACCAACCGGCGCAGTACTGGGTGCAGTTTCATCGTGATTCTCGAATAAACAGCCCACCGAGTGTTGTAAACAAGATAAGCAGAGCTCAAGGGAATGTAGTCATTTGCAGTTGTTGTAATTATCATAAAACGGTATATTCAGGGGGTAGCATGTTATACGACAGCGTTGGCTTTGATAAATGGCACACGAGGGCTTGTGAGAGAAGGATAATTTTTGGCAAAAGCTGTTTTCTTTTTAAAACTTGACGGATTAATATTATTCATAATGCAAGGATCGATTGAAGTAAAGACTTTTGAGAGCATTCCGTTGATTCTCATATTAGTTCTTTTGAGACTCAGAATAATGTTTTGTAATCTGATTCATGCCCATTGTATTGCAACTTAAAAAGGTATTCATAAATACATAAAGACACTGTCTATTCCTATTGGCCCAGAGCCCGTCACGTGGCCGGTCTTAAACGGTTTATAAAACACAAGATGGCGGGTCTTCAACACTTTTCCAGTAAGTCTGGACTCCTATGAAATCCGGTGCCTTTCACCGTTTGAATGGCTGAACGTTCACAATCCTTGGTTAGGCATGCGCAATACTACCAATGAGTCTGTATTTTATAGACCTAAATTCACACTACACCGGCATATTTATACGGAGTTGTTTACGGTTGCAGACCAGTAAATCGGTCCGAAATTGCCTACGCCGGCCAAATCACGATATGCATGCCCTCGAAATCTTCAGTATTTGAACATACTGTGGGCCATGAACTGGAGGGTTTGTCAAAAATATGGGTGGAAGCCGTGCACAGGACTGTGAGCTTGTAGTTCCGCTCAATTTGGATGAAATTGGGGCCCTAAAAGCGCTCTATTTTGCAATGGAGTGTAGGCATCGTTTTTCAGAATGGCGATGGGCTTCAGGACTATTTTAAGGGGTGATCATCTTCGGATGGAAATTTCTCCTAAAAGTCATCAGTTGACCCCCCGTAAATTGAATAGAAAATGAAAGATGATGAAATGAGCTTTAATTTGATGTGTGTCTCGAACACCTTGGAGAGTTGTGAGTATTTTTCCCGAATTTCTGCAGTGGGAGCATTTATCATTGGGGTAAATGGAAGTTTATTTACTGGTCTGGAACCTATAATGTCAAAATGGCGTCGTCCATCGTTCGTTGTCAAAATATTCCGCGACAGTGGTTTTTTTTCAGGGGGCGTGACCTGGGGGGGGGTGGGCAGCGTTTCAAAGGGGTTTCCTATGGTGGTTAGTAGTGAGTAGGGTCTTCATCGGACAAGACAAAAGAATTTTATGCATAATGCACAAAGACAAAGGACTCATTAGCATATCAATGAAACCAATTAGCATATCGATGGATGATGTTAGCATAATAAAAGAGTGCATGGGCGTGTGTAAGTTTTACCGGACAAAGGATGGGTCTAAAAAATGTATTGGACAAAGGGGGCAGCCCACCCGGCTAGATGGAATAGCGGACAGAGGAAAGACCTGAACCGGAATAGTGGACAAAGGGAGACTTGAGCCGGATTAAGAATGTCAAACGTTTGAAATGACCAAGACTATCATTTGTATTCATTCAAAGCAGTGTGCAAACAGTAAATAATAAAAACAAAATGCAGGCCACACCAACAGAGCGCCAATTAAGCCGACTAGCTGGAAATCTTGTGAAAAAATGTTTTTACTCTGGTAAGAATGGAGAGTGCGAGCGACCTTGGGAGAAGTTAATGATGAATCTCGGTCTATCAAGAGCCGCTATGTATAGACATTTAGAGGAAAACAAATTTTGTGAATGGGGGCAATGTTTTAACGCACTTATAGAGTTACTCATTTACTCATTCCGTTACTCATTTACTCATTTGATTAAATGATGAGTAATGATGAGTAACGAAATGAGTAAATGAGTAACGCAATGAGTAAATGAGTAACGCAATGAGTAAATGAGTAACGAAATGAGTAAATGAGTAACGAAATGAGTAAATGAGTAACGAAATGAGTAACCAAATGTGTAACGAAATGAGTAGCAAATGATTGAATGAGTAACCAAATAAGTAGCAAATGAGTGAATGAGTAGCAAATGAGTGAATGAGTAACGAATTGAGTAAATGAGTAGCAAATGAGTGAATGAGTAATCAAATGAGTAGCAAATGAGTGAATGAGTAACAAAATGAGTAGCAAATGAGTAAATGAGTAACGAAATGAGTAAATGAGTAACGAAATGAGTAACCAAATAAGTAGATATATATTAAATGATTTCATCCGTTCCTTACCATTCGGAGATTAACCTTCAAAGCTTCAACATGAATACTATTTCTGCAGTCAAACCCTATGCTTGTCACCAGTGTGACAAACGCTTTGGACGGAGATATAACCTCTTGAGACATACCGAAAATGCACATGCTGAAGATGAATCCGATATATACGAAGTTGAGGTGGATAATTCTGAACCTGAATTTAAAAGCAGTAGATTTGAAGATCCGGAAATGGAAAACTATGAAACTGAATCTACGTATGATGAAGACGAAGATCTTGAGGAAAATGATTCCGAATCCGTCACGGAGGTGGAAGATGACGAATCATCTGATGAAGATGAGTCTAGTTCTGATTTGGAAGACAATGCAGCCTATTTAGACTGGTTGGGAGAGGCAAAAGAAGCGATTGATGAGATGTGGAGTGAAAAACATGAAAAGTACATCAACGAGGGCATGAGTGAAGATCAGGCCACGGAAAAGGCCAACAGAAAGACCCTGTGGGCAGTCAAGCGAATCTTTTTCAACAAATACAAAGATTTTTTGTCAAGTTACATACATCTGAAAGATAATGATACTCATCAAGAAATTGTGGACGAGATCGAAGACAGAGTCAATCATTCCGGTATTCTACTGCCCACGGCTGTCAGCCGGGTGATATCTAAACACCACGCCAAATTTGACGGCCTGTTCCATCAATTAGATGAAGATGACGTTAACGAGGAAGACAGTGACGATTAATGACTAGTCAACGTTACATTAAGATCACTGATGATTTAATTGCAAAGAATACATTTAAAAACAAATTTAAAAAAAACACGAGTGTTTCATTGAGAAATGACGTCAATAAAGCAATGATGTTATCATGTATACACTTTCTGCAGTTGTATTTTTCTTTGTTGGTGTTGTCTTACAGTTAAACAATCGGGAAAGCCCTACTGTCAAGCAGTCATATAATTAGTGTTTGGACACGCCCTGTCAATAATCCCCGAAATGTTTACGGTCTTTAATGCTTCATGTATGGCTTTATCACGCACCGTGTCCAACTTTGGGACTTTGTTGGGGTAAAAAAAGTTAGTTGCCTTATGACACTCTAAATCTTCAATATAAAATAGAAGTACGTACTATTGCTTTAACACAAAAAGACCTAGTTATATATATATATCCTTGATTTTGTAAACAAGTCCGGCACGGTGGTACACTAGGGTTCGGTGCATTCTTGTACAGACAGCGATAAAGGGGTATTAAGGCTTGAAATCATGTTTAGTCAGTCAACTTCATTGACTTCTTTCACGTACAGATTTTTGAAGCTCCCGCACATGCCGTGCGCTGCCAATTAAGTCCCATTATCCAATAAAGGGAGTCAGCGTTCACTACTGTTGCGTAACTCCTGGCAATCGATATTTAGAACGCTCAATAATCCATCCCCCACTGTACATGCAGGTAGGTTAAGTCGGTGAAAGATAATCGATATAATGAACACGTCTTGAAAGAATTACGTCTTTATGGATAAGGGAAACAGCGCTATCTGATCGGACGGTGTAAATATACAGTGTACATG